TAGAGAAGTGGGTATGGAGATATGCAATAGGATATGGAAGGGGAAGGGTGGATTGGGGAGTGGAGTGAGGGGTGGTGGTGCCAATTTTGAAGAGGGAGAGGGAAGGGAAGTTTCAGAGTATAGGGTGGGTAACGTTGACACCGTCATTATACAAAGTGTATGCGTCGGTGTTAGCGGAGAGATTTGATAGGAGAGGTGGAGGAAGGAGGGATGTTACCACCGAAATCAAAACTGGGTTCAGAAAAGGGATGGGAACGGTGTGGATAATATCTATGTTCTGAATTATTTGAAAACAGGCAAATAAAGTAAGAAAAAAAGACAAATGGTGCTATTTTTTGTACCTGAGAGCGGGCGTTTTTGATTTGGTGGACAGGGTGTGTGAAGTTGATGACAGCGTTAAGAGGGAGGGGGATGAAGGAAGAGACGGTGAGATGTGAGGAAGTGTTAGGAGAAATAGGATTCAGGGTTTAGAATAGAGGAAGAGGGGGAGGGAGAAGTTCTGGACGGGGAGGGGGGGGTGAGACAGGGATGCCCTCTGAGTCCTTTCTCTTTAATATGTTGATGGCGGACATGGAGGAGGAGATTGAGGTAAGGGAGATGGGGAGGAGTGAGGCTAGGGAAGGGCAAGGTCTACACGTTAGCGTACGCGGATGACGTGGTATTGATGGCAGAGGATGAGGGGGGATGAGATGCATGATGGAAAGATTAGGGAGATATCTGGAGGGAAAGGGAGACTAGAATTGAATAGAGGAAGCGAAGGTGATGAGGTGCAAGAAAGGTGGAGGGAGGTTAAAAAAGGCTAGCGGGGTCTGGAAAGGAAAAAAATTAGAGGAGGTTAAGGAGGTATAAAGTATCTAGGATATATAATACAAAGGAATGGGAGGCAAGAAGGACAGATAAGGGACAGGATAAGAGAGGGGCAGTAGAGGGTCAGTGCTATGGGACAAGTATGGGGGATAGGTAAGAGGAGATTTGGGGGAGGAGGATGTGGGCTTATTTGATGCATTAGTGTGAACGGTTTTTAGGATATGGGGTGGGAGATATGGGGGGGTGGGAAGAGAGAGAGGGGTTGAAAAGGATACAAGAAAGGTATTGAGATGGATGTTAGGAGTGGATTGGGGAACGCTGGATATATGGTAAGGGAGGAGCTGCAGAGGAGAGAAGATAAGGACAAGGAATGAGAAGAAGGGCGTGGGGGTATGAGAAGAGACTAGAGGAGGGTAAGGGAGGGTGGCTGGCGGAACGAAAGTATGTTGGGGGAGATCAAGAAAGGGCAAAGAAAGGAGGGGAATTGTCAGATTGGGAGAGGGAAAGGAGGGATTTCTTTGAGGTAAGGGGATGGAATTAAGGGGAGATAGAGGAAAGAAGAGAGAAAAAGGGGAGTTCAGATAGGAAGAAGTTGAGGACTGGGAAAGGAAGGAGCAGAGAGGGAAGAGAGGATAGAAAAATGGAAAAGTCGGAATACAATAGATGGTACAAGCAGGTGAAAGGGGAGGGAATACGGGCTATCTGAAGAAGGGGTGGACGGAAGACAGATGGAGGAGAATAGCAAGGTATAGATTGGGGAAGGGATGAGGGGAAATAGATATTGGGAAAAGAGGAGGATAGGAAGTGCAGAATGTGTGGGAGAGGTTGGAAACGTTGGGATGGGAGCATGTGTGGGAGGAATGCATGGAATGGGGAAGGGAAGAGAGGATGGCAGGAAATGGTGAAGGAGGTGTTAGGAGAGGAGGGAGAAGGAGAAACGTGGCTAAAAAGGTTAGAGAAAGCAAAGAGGGGAGGGGGAGGGGAAGGTGAGAAAGGAGGATAGGGGGGAAGAGAGAGGGTAAGAGATGAGGAAGAGAGAGAGAGGGGGAGAGGGTGTGTGGGAGAGAAGGAGAGAGAGGGAGAGATGAGAGAGAGAAGAGGGAGAGAGAGAGAGAGAGAGAGGGAGAGGAGGTGAAACGAGTGAAAGAAGTGAGAAAGGGTAACAGTAACCGGAAGCGGAGGTCCCACTTAGGTTAAAGAGTACTTAAGATTGCGAAAATAGTATATAAGAAAAAGGTAGGATAAGAAAGGTTAGGGTAAAAGGGTCGTGTGTGGAAGAGCAGGCAGGAAGTAGGTAGGGTGGAAAGGCGAGAGAAAAGGCATGGTAGACGGCGAAGCAAGCGGCGTGGGCGATTTTTTATGTCTATATATATGATTTATATAGTGATTATATAGATATAATTGATTAATTAATTAGATTTAAGTTGTAGGATTAAGTTATAGGTTAAGGTTGGAATGTAAATAAAGGTATAAAGGTTGGGACCGCTCCTTTAAACAAGAAAAAAGCGCCTTGTAATCTATGATTGGAGCAGCAATAAACATATCTATCTATCTATAATAATTAAAATAAATTATTTAATTATAAATTTTTACTTTGCAAAAGATGGTACTGCAAAAGATGGTACCCAAAATCTTTTGAAGAAAGAATGTCTACATTAACGCGTTTTCTTCTATATGAATTGTTAATTCGAAATTGTACAACAATCATATCTGTTGGCATTTATAAATACCACAACAAATATTTTAAATTTTATTGAAAATATTTAATTGAAATGTGTTATTAGTTGAGTTGCTCAATATCAAAACTTTATACGTTTAGTACATCAAATAAAACGTATGTATCAGACAAAGACTCGGGAGCCAATTACAATGAACATAAAATAAAGTTACCAACCGTAACAAAAAGAACACGAAACACAAAAAGTACATAGATTGGAAATTTAGAACTAAAACATAAGGTCCGCCATCTGGCTTATTTATAGAGTAACGATACTTCTAACAAGCTCTTTTACTTTTAAATAAACAAATTACATGTTAATTAACTTTAAACAATGTTTAAATCTAGGGCCAGGAAGTGCCTTGGTTAAAATGTCTGCTAGTTGTTCTTCCGTTTTGAGATATTTGAAATTGATTATCCCTCTCTCCTGCATATCTCGAACAAAATGATAGCGGACATCAATGTGCTTTGTCCTTTGATGATTCTCTGGATTTTGCACGAGTTTTAAAGTTCCCTAGTTATCACAGTTTATTTGAATTGCATCTTTATCTTGATTTAAATCAAGTAGTAGTTGCCTAAGCCACAGAGACTGTTTTGTGACTTTGGCTAAAGAAATATACTCAGCCTCAGTAGTTGACAAGGCTATAATTCGTTGTAGTTTTGAACTCCAAGAGACTGCTCCGCCATTCAATAGGAAGATATAACCTAAAGTTGATTTTCTCGTTTCCTGGTCTCCTGCGTAGTCGGAATCACAGAATCCCTCCAGTTTGTTAGTCCCATTTCCATAGTATGTTATTCCAAGATCTGAAGTACTCTTCAGATATCTAAAAAGATGTGTAACAGTTGTCCAGTGAGTATGATCATAAAAATCCATAAATTGATTTAATTTTCCAACCGAATAAGCTATATCTGGACGGCTTCCAATCATTAAGTAAATCAAACTCCGAACTGTCTCTTTATATGGGTAATTTTGCTTATATGGGCCCTTATATGAGTGTAGCTCGTTCTTTACAATTTTCCATGTCGAACTTTTTTAATAGTTTCTCTACGTAGATTTTTTGATGTATCTTTAGGGTATTGTTGAGAATATCTCGTTTAATCTGAAGTCCTATAAAATAATTTGCTTCTTCTATCGTGATTTCAAAGTTCTCTTTTATATATTTTAGAATTTCATTCATTGTGTCTTCAGAATTACTGCAGAGAACTCCATCATCTACATAGATTCCAAGTATGACAATAACTCCATCAGTCCTCATGAAGTAGACGCATTGGTCAGAGGTTACACGTTTCAAGCCAAAATCTTCTAGAAACTTATTTAGTTTCTTATTCCAAGTTCTTGAAGCTTGTTTTAGGCCATAAAGACCCTTTTTCAGTCTACAAACTTGATTTGTGCCATCATTAATGCATGTAAAACCTTCAGGCTGTTTTAGGTACAATTCTTCTTCTAGTTTGCCGTACAAAAATGCAGTTTTAACATCAAGATGAACTATGTTCAGATTGTACCAAGTTGCAAGAGATAGAATAACTCTGATAGAGTCCATTTTTATTACAGGAGCAAAAGTTTCTCTGTAATCTATGCCAGCCTTTTGATTAAAGCTTTTTGCAACTAGTCTAGCTTTATACTTTGGTGTACCATTTGGACGCTCTTTTATAGAATACACTTATTTGCATTGTATTGGAACTCTGTTTTGAGGTAATTTTGTAATCTCCCAAGTTTTATTGCGTAGTAGACTTTTATACTCTTCCTCCATAGCAGCAATCCAACGTCTTGAATCCTCTGATTTAATAGCTTTAGTATAATCTTGTGGTGTTGACGTAATCAAAAAACAATGTTCCTCATATTTTTTTTAATTTTTTAACTTCGAACGATCGCGTAGATTTTTTTCAACTCTTTCATATGTTTTGTTTTTTGAGCCTGTTGGTCGTCCAGGAGTGCATGTATGATTATCATCATTTTCATTTTCATCTGAATCTTCCTCTTTTTTTCCTTGATGATTATCTATAGGTTGTTTAACTGGAGATTCAGGACCAGGAATCTGACTTTTATCACTTATATCCAATGATATATTTGCAGTATTACTCAGCTCCAATGTGTCATCAAATTTAACATCTCTACAGATATCAACACATCTCTCTTCATCCCAGATTCGGAAATTCTTATCCGTGTCAGTATAGCCAACTAATCTATCTCTTTTTGATTTAGGCTCCCATTTTTTTCTCAACTGCTTCGGAATAAGAGTATAGTAATTAGTTCCAAAAACTCGCAAATGTTTTATTGAAGGTTTTTTACCAAACCATTTCTCATATGGGGTTTTATTTTATCCATTTGTAGGAACTCGATTTAGAATATAGACGGTGGTATTTATCGCTTCTGCCCACAATTCCTTCGGTAATTCTTTTGCATAGAGCATACATCTTGCATGGTCAACCAGAGTCCTATTTTCTCTCTCAGTCCGACCGTTCTGCTGTGGATTATATGGTGCGCTTATTTGATGCTTTATCCCATGTTGCAAAAAGAAATGTTTGACTCCATTGTTGACAAATTCAGTTCCTCTATTACTAAAAAAAGGTTTTCATTACCTTACCAGTCTCGGACCGTTGATCAGCTACGAATTGTTTTAGTTTTTCAAGGACTTGATGTTTTGATCGTATGAAGTAGACCTTGATATATCCACTTGCTTCATCCTTCATTTCCAAGTAGTATCAAGACCTACTTAATGACTCGACTTCCATCTTACCACATAGATCAGCATGGATTACAGCTCTAATTTCTTCACTTTTAGATGATCTAGATTTATAGGATTGTTTTTGCATTTTTCCCATAGCACATCCATCACAAAAATAGTTTTCTTTTAAATCTAATTTTTGCAGACCTTCAACTATCTTTAATTTCGCCATCTTTTCAATTGTCTTTGGAAATATATGTGCTAGGCGTTCATGCCACAGTTTCAAACTATCTATGGCAATGTGAGCTGCTTTGCTCTTAACTCTTATTTTTAAACTGTATAAATTATTAAAACCACGAACTTTAATTAGGATAACTTGGCTTTTGTCATATACTTTGAGTACTTTACCTTTTAATTCAACTGTGAATCCTCGCTCAGTGAGTACTCCTAGACTAATCAAGCCTTCCTCACATAAATTCGGTACCCATAATACGTTTAATATTTCTCGTTGATTCCAGTTTATTTCATTAAATAGCTCAGCGACAACTGTTCCACGTCCTTTAGCCACCATTTTTGAACCATCTCCTACAGTTACATTTATAGCGTGATTAAATAAAATCATATTTACGAATGAATTCTTATCTCTGGTCATGTGACTCGAGCATCCTAAATCGCCTTTCCATGAATCGACACAGCATCCATCTTCTTCTTGTACTAAAAGTCCCTTTTGTTGACTTGCGTTGGTTTGTCCAGAAGATTTTGACTTGCAATTGATTCTCAAATGACCTTGTTTTCCACATTTTCAGCACGTACGTTTTTCTTTATCATTACAATTCTTTTTTTGATTTTGCTTCTTCGCTTCAGAAAACTTAGTTACTAAGGCTTCTCCTACGTCATTAGAATTACCATTATTCTTTACATCCTGCTCAATTACTTGTAATTGTGCCTGTATATTACTTAAAGTTAACACAGTTTCTGCAGCAGCTGCAATGCGATATGACTGCCTGAAAAAATCATACTCCTTTGGTAGATCATTTATTATTTTTGCAATAAGTGCGGCTTCAGTAATCTTTTCTCCTATAGACTTCAAGTTCTGCTTAATTATAGAAAGGCCAGAAAAATAACTTGAAATAGTCATACCTTGATCAAAGCGATATTGATGAAACTCTTGGTTCGCTAATATTTATTTGTTTCTGTGTTCTGTTTGCGTAGACTTATAATTGTATCCCACATTTGTTTTGAAGTTGTACAGAATCGTATTGCAACCTGATGATCAGCATCCAGACTCGATGATATAATTAAACGTGATTTGGCATCACCTTTTTTCCATGTACTTACTTCGTTGGCATTTGAGTTGTCGGGTAGAAGAGCTGGACAAATTGTAGATCCATCAACAATGTCTAAGACCTCAATCGATTCTAATGCTGCTTTTATATCAAATTTCCATCTTTGATAGTTTTCCTTTGTCAATGTTGGCAGGTTATACAGCATTTTATCTGCCATTGTCTCGCTCTTTGTCTCGTCCTTACAGATCACACTTATAACCTTTATAATCTGTCAGAATTCAATTAAAGCAAATATCTCAACTATAGTATAGCAAATATCACTTATTGCCTCGTCCTGGGCCCATAACCTGTTATTAGTTGAGTTGCTCAATATCAAAACTTTATTATAGAATACGTTTAGTTCATCAAATAAAACGTGTGTATCAGACAAAGACTTGGGAGCCAAGTACAATGAACATAAAAGAAAATTACCAATTGTGACAAAAAGAACACGAAACAAAAAAGTACATAAATTGGAAACTTAGAACTAAAACATAAGGTCCGCCATCTGGTTTATTTATAGAGTAACTTTACTTCTAACAAAATGCATAATGCCAGAACAAAAAATGGTTCAGTAATAGGTAATTTGATATTTTGATCTTAAGAGAATGTCAATTTAAATTTTAGTTTAATTTTTTTATTATCGCGTCAGAGTCGAATTTTTATTTTTTAAATATAAGCAGCACTTGATAAAACTTAAACAAAATTCCAATTTCAAGATAAAAATTTAATTGATGATATAAATTAATTATTAAAATATTTTAATTTATTTACAGAAATGATTCATTAGTGAAAATGATTTTTGAAAAAACATCAAGCAATTTTTACATCAGAGCAATTACCGATGGTTACTATAAACTATCTGTTTTGGTAACAATTGATAGAGATTTTGAGGGTGATATCACTTATGGCTCGCAAATTAAAGTGACAGGTAGAATGCGAATATCTGATAATAAACCACCATATCTTTCGGTTTCTTTAATAAAAAATGTAAAATTACTTGATGGTGAAAAAATGTCTTTTTTTTGGAAACCTTGAATGGATATCATTCTATCCCATAAATTTAGATTTATTACTTATTGTAAACATTCTTGTTGTTATGTACTTATTGTTCAACTAATTCATACTGTGTATAAACTTTATTCAATGAAAAAATTATTTTATAACTTGCGCTACGTTCTTTTATAAAAATATGTAAATATAAATTGTTTAAAAAAAATATATATATTATATTTTTATGTAAAACTTTAATATGTATTTATAATTGAAAAATAAAAGCAGTTATAATCCAATATCAGTTAGTTTCTTACATTATCATTTATTAAAAACAAATTTTTTTATTGTAGCAATAAAAACATTTTCGATATAGACATAAACATCGACATAGCGTACTAAAATACGGCTATTTTTTTTTAGAATAAATAGCGCAGTCCATGCTCTATGTCAATGTATAATTCACTTCTATGCAAGATTGTGTGAATATATCTTAACAGTTAATATCTGAACGCACGCAATCTTCATATACGTTCGAGATGACCAATCACATTCAGAATAACACGATAACAATGCAATCGCGATTAGCGACCAATTTAAGCATTTCACACTAATTTTCTTTTTGGATTTTCTTTTTAGACTAGCACGCAGCGCGCGCTTTCCTCGATAACCTATTTATATAAAAGTACAATATTTATGTTGATATCTTAGAATTTACAAAAGTTAATACTGCAGACTTTTGTCAAGATATTCAAAATTTTATTAAAAAATGGACCTTTTCATAGATTATCACCAAATTCAAAACCAATCATATATAATAGTCTATTCATGTAAAAAAAATGTATTCCAGTATATTAAAATTTATGAAAGTTAGAGTAACAACATTTTTTAAAAAATTAAAATGTTAGATTTATTTTTCCTACTATTAGTATTTAATATTAATTAATTAAAAAAAGAGGTCATTGCAATAATTTTCTGGGAATACGTAATTTAATTTTAATTATTATTTCAATTTTTTTAAAATTATTATTTTAATCTTACTTATTAGCTTTAAATGAATGAAACTAATTAAAAAAATGAAAAAGCGGGCTTTAAAATATGGGAATACGTCCTTTAAATGGTCCTCAGATTGATAATATAAAATATTTAAATATATCAATACCTAACATAATGATTCACATACTGGGTACTATAATTTGGAAAAATTAATCATCGCTTTAAATGACTAAAATTAATTAAAAAATGAAAGAGCGGGATTCAAAATATGGGAATACGTCCTTAAAATTGTCTTCATTTTGATTATAAAAAATATTGAGAAATGTGTCAATATATCTAACATATTGATTCGTACACATTGAGGCATAAAAGTTGGAAAAAATTAATTATCGTTTTATATGACAAACTAATTAATAAATGAAAGAGCTGGCCTCAAAATATGGAAATACGTTTTTTAAATAGGCCTCAGGTCAATAATAAAAAAATATTAAAATATGACGTGTCAATGCCTAACATATAATGATTTGTACATTGAATCCTAAAATTAAATATTGCTTGAAATGACTGAAACAAATTAAAAAATGAAAGAGCTGGCTTCAAAATATGGGAATACGTCGTTTAAATAGTCCTCAGTTTGATGATAATAAAAAATATACTGCAAAATGAAATGTCAATACCTAACATAATGATTCGTACATTGAATCCTAAAATTAATTATCGCTTTAAATGACTGAAACAAATTATAAAATGAAAAAGAGGGCTTCAAAATATGAAAATACGTTTTTGAAATGGTCCTCAGTTTGATAATAAAATATATTCCAAAATAACGTGTTAATATCTAACATAATGATTCGTACATTGGGTCCTAAAATTTGGAAAAATTACAGCTATTATATAAAGCTTCACCTCCCTTTCTCATTTCCTCTTTCTTACTCTTCTTTTTTCTTTGATGTCAATAATTTTTAGGTTTTCTCTCTTTCTCTTCTTTTTCTCTTTTTCTTTATTTCATTCTCTCTGTTATTAATATTATATATGTAGGAATATTTTGAATAAAGTATTACTCAAATTTATATTAAGAACACAGAATTTATTTTGTAAAAATATATATAAAGGAAAGCGTGTTAATTAAGAAGAAAAATCTCTGTATCTATCCCGTCACCTCGATCGATATATTTCTGCTGCTCTCTAGCGAAATGAAAGTGGAAAGTGTTCGGTCGATCAATAAGCTTGATCGTTCCGGTCGGTATTTGCCGACCCTAGATTCCCACATATATATTTTATATTATTTAATATTATATGTGTATATATATATATATATATATATATATATATATATATATATATACATATATATATATATATTATATTTTATATGTGTATATTATATTACATATATGTGTTACATTTCTTAACCTTTGTCTTATTTATTAATCCCATTAACGATGTGTTACAGGATGTCATCAAACTGTTACCGAACTTTCAGCAATTACATTCACACTTTTCTCTCACGAAAGCATCGACCGCCAATCATGTACACGGAAAAACGGCAACAATATTTTTGATTCCAAACACGCACTTCAAGGGTAAACATGACTTTTTTATACTAGATTAACACGCGCGCGCCATTTACGTTATTTTTATTTGTTATTATTTTTCTACATATAATTTTATACAAATTATATTGTAATTGAAATATATTATTGTCTGTTTTATTTCTTATGTATTATTGTCTGTTTATTACAGCATTAACATGAACAAATATTTTTTCAATATTATGTTACATAATATGCTCTATGTCAATGTATAATTTTCTCTCTTATGCAAAGTTTGTGTGAATATACCTTAACAGTTAATATCTGAACGCACGTAGTCTTCATATACGTTCGAGATGACTAATCACATTCAGAATAACACGATAACAATGCGATTAGCGACCAACTTGAGCATTTCACATAAATTTTCTTTTTGGATAAGATATTGAGGATACGTCTCTATATCTATAATATCAATAATATGGCTCTATATCTATCAAATTATAAATTGTGCCTATTTTATGACACAAAGGGTGATTAGAAAAATATGATAGATATCTGTTCAAATGTGTTTTTTTTATGGAACCAATCTGTGACAACTTTATTATTTTCATTAATCATAATCTTTAAATCTAAAAAGTTTGTGGATCTATTCTTCTCTATTTCCATCGTGAACTGAATTGTTTATAAGATTGAATATAATAATTGCGATGTGCATATAGGTCAGACTAGCAGACAATTACGAACTAGAGTTAATGAACACTGTAACCATATAAAACATAATACTTCTACGCATTCCATAATCACGGATCATAGAATAATCATGATTTTAATTGGAATGCTATAAAAATCTTAGACAGCGAACCTCATTAAAATAAACGCTTAATTTCTGAAATGCTTTTTATAAAATGACAAAATAATGAACTAAATTTACAAACAGATACTGAAGGTTAGCATGAAGCTTACATTAATGCGATAGATATGCTACCTAAGATTTAAGTTTTTTAACGGTCATATTTATATATAATCTACTGAATTCACTTCTAATATTATTATTTATTTGCGGGTTAGTTCTAGAAAATAATTGTTTTTAATTTTTTTAATACATATCAATTTCACCTTTAATGAACAACGAAAAATTAGTCACGGGTTATTCTTAAGTTATATGATTTACAATAATAAGAATATTAGATCGGCTCTTTTAATATAAAACACGATATACACCTTCTTCTCGGCCATAAAGTCTAACGCAATGTTATTGCGAAAATTAAGCAAGAGCATTCGCCCGGCAAGCGGAAGGTCTCGGGTTCGATTCCCGATTTAGCCAACTTTCGGACCAATATTTTTGTCGCCTATTTCTTTACAGGGGAAGTTAAAAGAGGAACAAGGAGAATTTTTGAGATCCCAACCATAGGATACAAATTCCCAGATTCTTTAATTTTCTTGCTTAATTTTCGCAATAACATTGCGTTAGGCTCTATGGCCGAGAAGGAGGAGGTGTATATCGTGTTATATGATTTATTTATTGAGTTTCTAAGTTAATATTATATATCGAAATGACTATGTAAGTTTTTACTTGTTAATCTATTGGTAAATAGACCTGACCTATTATATTGTATATATATATATATATATATATATATATATATATACAGGG